ATAAGTAAATAATCATGCACAGACTTCTTAAAATGTACACAGTCTATTGTCTCATACAGTTTCGGTTTGTTTCTGTATATCTATTTCAAGTGTCCCCAATTCGTAATTTGAAAATAATCTGTTACATGTATTTGTAAATTAAGATTAATCTTATTTTCAAAAAGTTAAAATAAAGAGAATATGAACCCATGAAAAATGGTGTATGATCACAACTACTGTTTTTGTGGTTTAATTTACTAAGGGGTGATATTGACGTCACAATAGCCGTATCAGCCCTGCGGGGCTGATATGGATTTGCAGGGCTGATATAGGTTATCAGCCCCGCAAATCCATGACAGCCCTGCTGGGCTGATACGGCTATTGTGACGTCAGCCATATCGCATATGCAAAAAACCTGTATTTATTACTAAGTATGTAATAAATAATAATAAAAATACAACAAAACAGCTGTTATGATTAGGATGAGAAATATATTCTTTTTTTATTTTTGACATCTGTATCATATCAAGTAAATTTTTTTAAAAAAAGTTGATATGCGTCTATGCCATTTGACTTGCATAACATAAACAGGAAATAAATTATGTTAAAGGACATGAAATGTTGAAAAAAAAGGAGTAATTAATATTCATAATTAATCACAATTAAGGAGAAATGATTGCTTATTTCTCTTTTCAAGCAGTTCTCTGCTAGATTCGGCAATGAACATACTGGTACAACTGTAAGAAAAGTTTAATTAATACATAACATGTATAGCATGACAGAAACTTCATTAGTTTATGACAGCACATGCTTCATGAACAATTCTAGTAAATTTTTAATTAATTAATTAATTAATCAAACTTGAAAAGCAAGTTGGGTGATATCTAGTTCATAAAACAAAAGTGGAGGAGGCCTCAGAAATTTTCTTTGATAAAAGATAAAACACTTTAATAAGATAAATATTTTTTTATAGGTGTCACTGTTAAGATTTAATGAGTACCAGTACCCAATGATGAATGTTTTGTCATGCACCACTCTTATAAAAACTGTGATGATTTGACAACCATTAGGTCTCTTCTGAGGGTACTTTGTCAAGATTGACAAGGGAGACAAATGATGCTTGTCTTGCAGGCAGATACTAAAACAGTTTGGAATCTGCTTCTTGCCATTTTACCTTAGGAAGCTCTGGATAAGGGACCAGTTAAATGTAACTTAGTTAAAGAATTATTGTCAATTTTTTTATGGAATAGTTTGTATTAATATTTCAGAAAATGTTTTTTTCCTTATTAAACTCATCCTAATTACAAGGAAAAATGTTAATACTAATTAGTATTGGATCATACTTTAAACAGGAAATAAATATCTCAAAATTAACATAATTAAATAGAGATATTTATAGATTAAATTTTGCTATTAAGTAATTACTGGGATATGCCAGAAGAATTTCAGAATTCAGCTGATCTCATTTGATTTGTAGATTGCTTTTGTTTCATGGCAATAAGTCTAGCTTAGATGTATTTTTTATTTTATTAGATATTGGAATCCTATGATTTTATTTTAGGAAAAAGCAATTAAAATAAGAATCAGAGGGGACTGATAATAAAGTCTCAAATCTTGATTTGTAATTGAAATCAAAAGGGTAAAGTAGGTAAAATCTGGAACTGAGACAAAATGAATAATTAGGCACACCAACTTGACCAAGTCTAAGTGCTTCAAAAATCTATCTTTAAGGCTCCCCCCCCCCAACCTTTGAGTTTTTAAATTAGACTATTATTCATAGCTGCAAGATAAATTTTTGGAACTTTCTGAAACACTTACCTTCCTCTTTCAGTAAGTTTGTAATGCATGTTTATGAAGTACCCAATGATGAGTTCTCTGTCGTGCACCACTCTTATTCATTCTGTGATGATCTGACAATCATGCTATCTTCTGAGGGTACTTTATACATGTACAGATTATTTATTGCTAGGATAGGTGTGGAAAACTATACATCTGACTGGGTTCAAGGGCATTTTTTTTCAGACCCAGGATTTGGGCAAATGTATGTTGCCTGAGAACACAGTCGATAAGTCTTGAATATGATCTCACCTTTGAACATGCTAAAACTTGATGAACTTTTGTTTTTCAGATCGCAAACACCACAGAAATGGTATCCACAGGCCTAAATCTTACAGATATCCCTCAATGAAGGGGGTAAGTTTTCCTGCTAAGATCACTATATTCATTATTTCCTCTTGGCCATTTTTCACTTTTTGAAGCAAATCTTTAAGGTTGAAAAACAAGAGAAAAAAACAAAAACAAAAAACCAACAACAAAAAAACAAAACAAAACAAACAAACAAATCAAGGAAAAAAAACAAGACAAAATCAGAGAACAAAAACTACAAAACAAAAAATTCTTGTAGATTTGAGAAATTTTGACTGACTGAAGCAGATCTTGTAAGTGATGGTTAACACAGTAAATCCTGAATGATGCACATTATACGAGGGTTGATCCTAAAGTTCGTGGAATTTCTAAAATTTTATCGTGATTTGATGAAAGCAATCAACAGGCATATTCTTAATACAGAGTCATAATGCTACAATATTGGAAAATTTCACCACTTTCCAATTACCAATAAGGTCACAAGTGCTTTCTGAAAATCGATAGTTGGGAAACCCGGGGGAGACTTTGACGTTACGTCAAGTAAGATAAGTCACGTCACGTTATAGATGGATCTCGCCCAAATGCCCAATCATAATATGTAATTCTACAAAATGCTGCCTTTTTCTCCATTTTTTTCTTAAGAAAAGATTGGGTATCCTCTCGCACCAACTTATCTTCATTTTTTACTCATATTTCAAAATACTACCAATCTTTCCATATTTTGTTCCAATTTCACTAGCAATGTCAAGAACAGTACGGCAGCCGACAACGTCCATTACCGCTTTTAATTTTTCTAGGGGGATACGTACTTAAACAGAGCCTCTAAAAAGCGACCACACCTTTTATCAACGTCCATGGAAGATCTATTTTTCTTAAATTTCTTATGCCACTGGAAAACCAGCAACTAAATGCATTTTTCCCAAGCCTATGTCATTAATATACGCGTTTAAGATAGAGTGATCCCGGATTTTCACAAAACGTGTGATTTGACAGAAATTTGACGTTATCTAACAACTTAAAGATGAACAATAAATCATCAACTTATAAACTAAATATCCAGTAAAATCAGTAAATCTTTCACACGAAGGTTTATAAAAGATCAAGCAATCGTAACAGTCTTCGAAATAACCTGGGTGCCCCATGCCCGGGACCTGGTAAATTTGCCAGAGGGCATGTGAAAATTCTCAAATTACATGCCCGAAGGGCATGTGTGAATTTTCTTTCGATTCACGATGTTTACTTGCCATTTCTTCTGTTCAACCACATGCAGTTATTCGTGTAAACTTGCTATGTAATGTCTTAATCTGTCATTATGAATTGCCAGTCTTCATTCGTCTTACGTTACATTATCGGTATGACCTGTCAAATGATTGTCAATCGTAATGATTAAAGTGTTTACTTTAATTTAACTGATTTGTTTTCTTGATGCTTTCTTGGTACCACGTGCAGTGGACTGCTGTCATGATGATCATGATCTTATTTCTGAAATTCAGTTCAACTATACCGGCCAACAAACAACCAGCATGCGAGTCAAAAGTGGTGAACAAAAACGCATACGAAAATGGCAGAGAGGCAGGCCACGGTTGATTCAAAACTCTGGAAACAATTTAAACTAAAGATTGAGAGAATTTAAAAACAGAAACACAGTCCTTATAGTTAATATAAAAACCTTAGTTTTTTTTGTTGCACAATCATAACTGCTATATGAATGAATTTTGAGTAGGGCATGTACAAATTTCAATGGGCTGGGTTTAAATGACCAGTATACATGCCCGAAGGGCATGTGCTGAAAAAGAATTGTTGTGAAGACTGTCGTAATAATGACATAATATTCGATTTATATACCACATAGGGCGGTTTAATTCTTATTTCACGTATTAAGAATTAAAATGATAATAAACGCGTTAATGTCTCCCCCGTATTTCCAAACAACCGTTTCTATGGCAACTGCCATAAAGTTACTATCCAAGATATTTAAAATGTTTTTTAATTTAAAATATTCATCAAGTGTTTATTATTCTCATTTGTAATTTTCAACCAATTTCACTGAAAAATAAATAAAATATGAAGAAATTCCACGAACTTTTGGATCAACCCTCGTATGTTTATTGTTTTACAGGTGGACCCAAAGTTTTTGAAGAACCTGAAGTTTTCCAAGAAACACAACAAGAACACTAAGCAGGAGAAATAGAGTGTGCTTTACACAAATAAAAGCTGTAAAGAAATACACTGCTTCTTATTGTTCTTAATGGGAAAGAGCTAACATTATTCCAAGGAATGATGGAAATTATTCATCGAAATTTTCACATTTTAATTTTGTATCATGGTGCTTTTTAAGGGTTTCTACCGAATGTCCACAGATATATGTCAGTTTGTTCAAGCTCAAGACTATACAGAACCCATCATACATGTATTTCCATGGGCAGTCGGTAACTAACCTAGTAAGCGCATTTTTTTTTTTTTGAGGACGAATAACAGATAACAAACCTTGAGAGATCAATTTCAATTGAATTTTCTCACATGAAAGAATCTTCATTTGTAATCTTCTTTATTCACATTATTTTAATGAAAAAAAGGAACTGCTTTAAATTTAATTGAAACTTTTCCAATATTTTTGGTGTCTTGAAAAGCAAATATAGTGCTGGCAAGATTTTTTCTGTATTCATTAAAATTACTGGGACCTATGAAATTACTTCCCTATATTCGTAATATGTTATATCTCTATAAGGAATTCGTTGAATTTGTATAGCTGGGGATCCAAGAAAACTTCGCTGTATCCATGAATTCTGAATATCCATATTTTGTACTAAATGAGTTTTACAGTAATTGTGACAAAACAAAGTTTCAGATACACTCTATATGTATAACGAAAACAGTTTTTATTTATTTAGAGTTTTATATATACATTTGTAACATAAACAGTATTGTATTTTGGCTGCCCCTTGGTTGACAATACATGTGTGTTTTCTTGGGGTGAAAATATTCAATGTTGCACCCAAATACAGGCAGTATACATTAATAATACAAATATTAAAGAAGTACATGTATTTACAACATTAAATTACTAGACCGGTACATTATACATTAAACTAAACCGCAGGGAATGAGAATAACTGATTGAGGCCTGAATTTATTCTGTGTTAATTATATATTGTCAGAATAAAAATTTTTAGCCATATTTCCTGAAAAAGACTACACATGATGATTTTGATTCAAGAGTTCAAAATGATTTTGAGTGGATTGAATTATATAAATAGGAAGACTAGTATATCATCACTCATCAGTATCATCCATGTAAACTTAGATATGTACATGCATGTATTTCAATGCGAACTAAATAAAAAACTTCCAAGAAATTGTGTGAATCATTAAAGGTACAGGAGAAGAAAGTTGATGGTACGCTGAAATAACTTTCGACTTTAAAGTTTGATGAAATGTTTACATACGCACTCGCCTTAAATTTTAACGAACTATACAAAACGTAATTTCAGAGTGCTAACATTTTTCTTCTCCTCTACTTTTGATAATTCTCAAAACTAAAAGATTTAATATTATGAGTCATGTTAGTTGAGCACAAAAATTGATTATAATAAATACACTTGCATGACAAAGTACCTTTACTGTTAAACAAGCAAATATGTGGGATCAAAACTTGTATTGCCTTATTTGGGTCTTTTGATACAGTGACACTTCGCTAAGCTAACGCAATATCTCATGGCTTGGTCAATCGAGTTTCTACTGACTTTATTGATAAAATTTTCGAACTTAAAGAGTTATAATTAGCGACAAGTCCACTGCTTTCTAAACAGACAGTGGATGAAAAGCCAGATATTGTTCCCTGTGATACAATAATGCTGAAAAATTCTTTGATTCCTTCCTTAAGATAATTTCTCTTTGCTTGATACATGTATATATTTTATCTCCGCGTGTCTGTATTGTATTAAAACAAGTTAGACAGCGGAACACAAAAATCTATGATAAATAATTAAACTGAAAATGAAAAGAGGTCTCGGAAGCAGGAATGTACTCCACTATAAAGACCATGATTTGTTTTGATAATTGTCCGGGAAGAAAAATGACCCCAAAATAATGTACTCGACCAATGTCTTCATCCACATAATATTAAAAGCACTGTACATGTAGTTCGTAATTGAAAAACAAACAAAAAAACCCCACAAATATTCGTCACAAAACATCAAAGTAACCATTCTTGCATAGAAACACGATGGAGGAAAACAGCTTACTCAAAACTTTCGTAGATTTTCTTCTGCTTGCGATTGCGACGAACAGCTATCGCAATACCTACAATTACGCAAACTGCTGTAGTCAAGCCAACAGACAAGCCCGCAATGGCGCCTTTTGACATCCCCGGATCGTCTTTTTCCTGCACTACATGGTTACCTGTGAATTTCTTCATGAGGGTGGCCATTTCTCTGGGTGCTGAATTCAATGTGGTCCAGCTTGATTCGTCTGGTTTATCTCCTTTCATTTCGGGATCAATAAGTTGGACCCACGATTCAGAATCATGAGAAATTATGTAATTTGCTGGTTCCTCTAAACTCTCTGCAGGAACATCAAAAAACGGCGGGAGCTGAACGGTAGGGAATTTTAGATCGGACATTTGGCCTGTCCGTACGCAGTATTCTATTTCACAGTTGTTATCAATTGTGGCTAAGTGGTTACTGAAACCCTTTGGACAAGATTTTGTATATTTACTATCAACTAAAGGGTTACCATGCTGACAACTGAAGAAACCACCAAATGGCACGGCAGATTTGGCGCCAAGTTCATAGTCATCACTGATGCAGACATAGACATTAGAGGCAATCTTCATTGGATTATAGTACTGCGGGCATGATTTTGATTGAGTTACAAAGTTACTAGTTCTGTCTGAGTACAGACCTCCAAAGAGAAATCCGCTGTTTTCTTGAACAGGTGTGTTTGGTTTTGCACGACACCAATACGATGTATATGTTGCAGAGCCATAATAAGACTTGTCGTGACAACACTTAAAAAAGGCCCAGCATCTATGACACTTGTGCTCATGTTGAGCTTTATGTGTTTTTCCTTCATAAAGAAGAACTGTATCAAATCCTTTTGGACATCGAAAGTTCTGTGTTTGAGGATTTCTTACAGTAATGTTCAGTGTGTTGCACATGTTTTCGTTATTCATTAATCCTCCCTGGAACTGACATGTTTGGTAAATTCCACCAAAGCTAAGGTTCGTTAGAGGTGCATGACAGGTACCATCATCTAGATTTGAAATTTTGCTGAAGTTTGGTGCGTCTGGATCGGTGCATCCTGGATACGTGTTATGGAGGAAGTAGGACGAGATTGCACTTCGAACATTTTGAACGATTTCTTCAACCAAACTTGCAGACAATTCAGGAAGCGCAGTAGTAGAGATGACGTAGTCTAAAGGAAATCCATTTCTATCCACTGCAACCAAATCATTTCCAATAGTAGTTGTCCATTTACTGAGTGTAAAATTTTCAGGATTCATGGGCGGACCTCCGTACGCTCTGATGTCCGAGTTTTTAACGTTCCGCATGTATTTTTGAAGTGCAGTTTTTGAGTATGAGAATTTATCTTTTACATCAACACTTGCAAGTCCAGGCAGAGAGACACTCGCTGCATACCCTATTTGAACTTTGTCGATTGTGCTATCTTGGAGAAGGGAAGAGTCAATCTGGTCTACTTTGACGATAGACGCACCAGCATCAACGCTCGTAAGTACGTGAGTTCCGAAATCTCGAACAAGCAGTTCACTTTCATATTTTGTCGACAATTTTCGATTTTGTTGAATATGGTTGGCAATCTTTAGCAGACGATTTCGGAAAGACTGATCTAACTGTACATCAGGAAGAATCTTTGCTGTGTACCGGACGAATCGTGCTTGGACTTTAGTTGTGATTGATTTGTCTTCTAGCTGATGCTTTTTAATGTGCTCATACTCGGAAGACAGACTGGCTGCAATCTTTACACCCTTAATGGTTGCCGAAGCTGCGTTGTTCACAGAGAACGATGTATCAGATTCATACTGAGACCAGTGATCATACACCTTAGAGAAAACGTTCATGTGACTCGTCTTAATAGGAATGGTTACTACTCCATCTGGGATGAGATATCTTCTGTCCTCTGTAGTTTTGCACTTTGAATAATTAAAATTCACAACAACGCCCCGATTCTCATTCACAAGATTATCCCAACCAAATCCAGGCATAACCTCGAACATGAACGGCATCTCCCCCTTT